ATTATCTTTTTTTGAATTGAAATAACCGTAATACGATACCTTTAGTCAATCTTTTACATCATCTTTATAATTTTTGTAATAGTTATTTTGGCTACATGCAGGTGTGTGCAGACATACTTACACCCGTATTCACAAACGAACGATGCTTGCTTAAGTGAAGCAGCAAATCGAACGCACAGCGTTGAATAGCTCTGTGATTGGTTCGTGTGTCACCCTGTGCATCCACGCGCACTGTGAGAACTCATAGTTATGTTTGTGAATACGGGCATAAAACTTAAAGTCTTTTAAGTCATTTGAGTCCTAAACTAGAAAATACATGAGTTGTGAGAAGTGTGGCACAAATTTTCCATTTGACTCTGGTAATTTAGAGAGACTCGTGCTCCCTCAGTGAAGACTGAATTGTTTCATCATGATCATCAGCATTTCAGCCACATAATGTCCACAGCTGAACATTATAGCAATAATTTCCTGATTGAGCGCGTAGCGGCCTGCATCCAGCGCCATTCTGCAACCATTATGAGGTCATCTTTCCACCTTGTGGATGAATACCACCAGTGCTGGATTACTAAATGCTACATAATGCCATTAAGCAATCCACCATGTTGCAATTGATTTATTTGTTTTTTTTTAATCCACAACGAGGAAGCTGAGAGGCCTGTATCTCATCTGATGGTAAGTGATGATCAGGCCGAAGGTGGAAGCGAGCTTCACCCGGTATCTTCAACCACGGAGGAACTGGCTGTCTTACCTCTAACTGCCGGAACACAACTATGCTGTTAACATTGTTGTTAGGGCGACAGACTTAGGTAAGATGGTGGTAGCTAGCCAAGTGGACTTAGAACGAGCCCTACCACCAACCAAACCGAACAGAAAAATCTGCCCCCACTGGGAATCGAACCCGGGACCTCTGCGTCTGAAGCAGGTGGTCTTACCACTTATGTACGTTATGGGTTAATCCAGCACACCCATACTGCACTTGATCGGTGCGTGGCCTAAACATTGTTTGTAGCAATTTAACTTACTAATCCACTGAGCTCTATCGGCAGTCATTTTTCAGAAATAATTAGATTGTCCAACACTGATTAGTTAGATTAGAAATTAATCAAGGAAATATTAATTTTAGACTATAAGTACGTAGTACTAATTATTATTCTGTGCTATAAGCAACAAAATCCGTCTTTATGACGTTGGAGGATTATTTTAATCCTCTATTAGACTTTACCTATTTCTATACAGTGTGTCCGGGCATGTAGTGATCAAACTTTAAAGGCGTAATCTATGGACAATTTTATCGATGAAAATACTTCAAATTTGGGGTCTGACCCATTTGTCGAAAAATTACATGGATTTATGTTTTTAATTTTTAGTTTACAACTCTTCTTTAAAAAACAAGTAAAAGCGTGGGTAGCTTAACATTAATAGGCAAATATTTTATATCATGCGATAGCCAATAAAATTATCTATTAGTAGAAGAAGAAAACAGACAAAAGTTTTATACATTTTATGGGAGTAAGAATGGATTTAATTAGAAAAATACATGACTTTTTTCACTTCTTTTCCAGTTATTTTCCAACACAAGAAATACCAGGTCGTTAAGGTATGTTTTATTTGCATTGTATTATTAGTATTTGAGCTATTCTACAAAACGAATGTAAATTTATTAGTCTACGTCTATTAGTTTCGACGTAATTGTTGAACGAAGATACCCCTTCCCAGCGGTTTCCATAGCGCACGCGACATGCGAAAATGCACTGCCTGAAAGAATCACACAACCTATTTCGATTACTATGGAAACCGCTGGGAAGGGGTATCTTTGTTCAACAATTACGTCGAAATTAATAGACGTAGACTAATAAATTTACATTCGTTTTGTAGAATAGCTCAAATACTAAAAATACAATGCAAATAAAACATACCTTAACGACCTGGTTTTTCTTGTGTTGGAAAATAACTGAAAAAGAAGTGAAAAAAGTAATGTATTTTTCTAATAAAATCCATTCTTACTCCCATAAAATGTATGAAACTTGTGTCTGCTTTCTTCTTCTACTAATGGATAATTTTACTGGCTATCGCATGATATAAAATATTTGCCTATTAATGTTAAGCTACCCACGCTTTCACTTGTTTTTTAAAGAAGAGGTGTAAACTAAATATAAAAAACTTAAATCGACGTAATTTTTCGAGAAATGGGTCAGGCCCCAAATTTGAAGTATTTTCATCGATAAAATTGTCCATAGATCACGCCCTTAAAGTTTGATCACTACATGCCCGGACACACTGTATAATATAATGAATCAATTGAATTTGATTAGATTGTGCCGGAAGTTAAATATTGGTACCCTATGTAAGCTGTAATAAGTGCTATTTTACGACTAAATGTAAAGTCTAATGTGCTGTAGTTATGTAGTTAATCCATTTGATATGCATTATTTATTGTTAGAAAGACAGGGGGTTCCCATATTTAAAAAAGTCTACAAGCTCCTCCTATGTTCTTCTGATTAATTTCGTTGCGGGTCCAATGGCAGTTTAACTTTCCCCCGGGACAAACTTGACCTTCACTGGTTGGGTTGTTGGCGGTCAAGCTATAGATCCTGGCTACACAGGAGTTGCAGCGGTGGGAACGAGAGGTGGGAGTGTTTAACTGCTAGCGGGTTTTCCTGGTTGTACTTCAGCTGTTAAGTTTTTCTCTTTATAACTTTAGCTTGCCTAGGAAGGTGATTGGTTTCAGCCAAATGACGTCCACTGCTAAAGAAAGGCTTTCGAAAATGACCAGTCCTGCGATATTTGAGATTATTGCAAAACAAATGAATAATATCATTTTAAGACTGTATTAATTTATTACGACACAAAAACAACAAAGTTGAGTTGCACCATCTAACTTTAACCGTATCTATAACGATAACCGGTGCTTTTTGTATGGGGTTTGTTAATGTCAAAGAAAGATGGTGCAACCCAGCCTAAGCATTGCAGTGGAATTCTTGAACAACGGATTCTCAGTAATTCACGAACGTATCGACAATTTCCGTTGTTTAATCCTCACAGTATTGCTATCGTTAATCCCGTTAAGCCTTATACGACAATACGTAGACAAACAAGGCACATCAAGCTTTTAATATTGTGGCTTTTTATGCTGTTAAAATAGGGGTTATTTTGCTATAAAAATGATGTTCCTTTGACTGTAAAAAATAATTCTTCGAAAAACGTATACGTATAGTATGCGATTGATTTAGCTAATAATTATCCTGTTTTTTATTTTGTTATCGCGGGAAGCACCTGATTATATTGCAGGCTTGAATCTATACTAAAAGCGAAAGGTCACTGACTGACTGACTTACTCATCACGAAATACCAGAAACTACAAGTGCTAGGAGTCTCAAATTTTGCATGGGGGTTCCTGTTAGAACGTAGGTGCTCACTAAGACGGGATTCTGCAAAATTCAACCCCCTAATGGGGTAAAACGGGATCTACGCGTACGATGTCGCGGGTGGCCGCAACGCGCAAGTTAGAAGAAGAAGTAGATTTGAATAAGTATTTCTATTTCACAATTTTAAATGCAATGCCAAGAAAACACTTACCCAAAAAAATCCCTAAAAGTAGGACGTACATTGTTTTACTTTATCAATTTTATTACTATTCCTAAATATTCGCATATCCAATTATAAGCGGTAGCGTTTTTAATTTATCACGTAGATTTAATTTATTTTGGATAAGATTATCCAGACATTTATGCTATGATAAGACGAACTGTGTCCATAGATTTGTATTTTACAGTTATTTGATGACGACCTCATAAAGGTAGCAGGAAGGCGCTGGATGCAGGCCGCTACCAACCGGGCGATGTGGAAATCATTGGGGGAGGCCTATGTTCAGCAGTGGACGTCCTGTGGCTGAAATTATGATGATGATGATGATTAGTTATTTTACTCGTATATTTAAAAATCAGCAAATATGACATTCGCAGTACCGATGTAGGTACTCGTAAAATAGGGCTTCATGACTAAAACCTCACAAACGTTGTAACTACTTATCTATACTAATATTATAAATGCGAAAGTAACTCTGTCTGTTTGACTTGCTTTCACGCCTAAACCACTGAACCAATTTTGATGAAATTTGGCATAGAGATAGTTTGAGTCCCAGGAAAGGACATAGGATAGTTTTTATCCCGGTTATTGAAACAGGGACGCGCGCGATAATTTTTTTCTGTGACAGAAAAAATCCACGAGGGCAAAGACGCGGGCGGAAACCTAGTTTAAAATAAATACTTCGAAATATGAGTAAAAATTAATGAGATAATAAGAACCCAATAATTATCAAGATTAGCAACTAATTAGTTACTCAATATTAACTTAATTGCTGCTACCGTTAATTTTAACTGTCCCAGACAAAAATTGAATCTGATTAAAATCTCAGATTATTAATAGAATGCTATTATTTATCAATTTAACTATTCATCTATAGAATATTACCTGTATCGTTTGGTCATTCTTCATTTGATAGTAAGGTTAGTAAAATTCTTACTTTAGACAAAACGTCACGCGTTGTCGTCGCTCAAAGATACAAATACCTAACTATAAATTCATCAAAACGGTGATTATTTTTTATGTGATAGGAGGCAAATAGGTGATACAATAGTGGTGTTTTTATAGAAATGTATTGTGTAATTTATTTCACCACCGCAGCTGGAATGTGAATTCGTGCAAAAACAAACCTTCTTTTTGCACAGAACAAGGCAGGTATTTGACCGTAATCGCACCTGATGTTAAGTGAGATGCAGTCTAGGATGGTACAAACCTGCCCTGTAAGTGCCTATTCACTCTCTCCTTGAAAAGGACCGGATTATAGTGTTCAGGAAAGACAGCCGGCAGCGAATTCCAGTCTCTAGCTGTTTCTTCCCGCTTCCGCTCCCGCTTACGCCTATAAACAGCCAAATAATGAAACGAAAATTAAAGATATGAGTTATCAGATGAGCAATCAATTAATATAAAACAAGTGTGCCAATAAAAAAATGGGCAGTACCTTAGGAAAGTGCTACAAAACACTGTGAAGTGAATAGTTACTTTTCTAAAAAATATAGCGTCCATTGACGCGGATTTAATCATGATAGGTATGTATTATTTTATTTCATCATCATCATCATCATCTCAGCCATAGGACGTCCACTGCTGAACATAGGCCTCCCCCAATGCTTTCCATGTTTGCCGGTTGGTAGCGGCCCGCGTCCAGCGCTTTCCTGCTACCTTTATGATGTCGTCGGTCCACCTTGTGGGTGGACGTCCCACGCTGCGCTTTCCGGTACGCGGCCTCCACTCCAGAACCTTGCTGCCCCATCGGCCGTCAGTTCTGCGTACTATGTGCCCTGCCCATTGCCACATCCGCTTGCTAATCCGTTGGGCTATATCAGCGACCTTAGTTCGTTTACGTTATTACGTATTATTTTATTTAAGTTATCATAATCATCATCATCAGGTCATTCAGTCTCCACTGTAGGAGCAAGACTGGCACGACCCTAAAAAAACAATGCCGGAAATTGGCGTCTTTTTTTTTCGCGCAGCCATCGACCAAACCTTTTTTGATTACAAAATAGTGTAATAAACCAAACTTACTATGCCATGTATACCTCTAAACTCAGTCTGAACTGAGTAACGTGCATTAGAAGTTTCATAGGTACTATTAGATTTGCTTTTTGCGCGTAAGTTTTGTAAGAAATTGCAACAAAATAGTGACATTGTAATGTGTAAACAAACAATACCATCCATTAAAGGCTCCAGACATCAGTATGGAGCAGAATCAGCGCAATAAAAAAATAGCGCAATATTTTGTTGCAATTTCTTACAAAACTTGCGGGCAAAAAGCAAATCTAGTAGGTACTTACCTATGTAAAATCATCAAACTTCTAATGCTTTGTTTTATTACACTATTTTGTAAGTTTGGTTTATTACACTATTTTGTAATAAAAAAACAAAGTTTGGTCGATGGCCGCGCGAAAAAAAAAAGACGCCACTTTCCATACAAAATCTGGCATTGCCATTTACCAGAGACTCCCCCTAACAGCGTAGAGTTCAAGCTAACGCCCGTATTCACAAACGATGCTTGCTTAAGTGAAGCAGCAAATCGAACGCACAGCGTTGAATAGGGCTCTGTGATTGGTTCGTGTGTCATCCTGTGCGTTCACGCGCACTGTGAGACCTCATTAGTGTTTGTGAATACGGACGTAAATGCTCCATTTCCTTCATATAAATTGGAGAGGATCGTGCTCATACAGTGAAGACCTCATTACACCTGATGCTGATGATGATGATTCTAGTGCTTACATAAAAAATTATACAATTCGCTAAAGGACGTAGCACACGTCTTATCAACTCTGAAAGGGGTCGTCAATTTTCTTTGTATGAAGCTCCATACTATCCGCACCGTAACTTAAACCGCCAAGGCATTTTTTTGCCCGCCAACGAGTTAGCCGGCGCGCGGTGGTATAAATGGCCCTATTAATCTAAATATATATTATTATAACTCAAAGGTGACTGACTGACTGACTGACTGACTGACATAGTGATCTATGAACGCACAGCCCAAACCACTGGACGGATCGGGCTGAAATTTGGCATGCAGGTAGAATTCTTATGACGTAGGCATCCGCTAAGAAAGGATTTTACGAAACTCCACCCCTAAGGGGGTAAAACGGGTTCCACGCGTACGAAGTCGCGTGCGGCCGCAAGTTTAGGTATAGTTTGGCTTTTGATTTGATTCTGCTTTGTATTTTTTTAAAGTTGTGCGTCGCCGCAGTCTAAGAAATTTTGCTCAACATTAAAATCTATTGGGCCGGCCTTGCAATACGATGTTGATCCCTTTCCGAGTTGATAAGTCTGCTACGACTTTAAATGCGTAGCAGGCTTCAATCTCTTAAAAGAAAATGCCTAGTTTTCTGAATATTTACCAATTTTTCCAGCAAAACTTCTACTAATCGCCTCCTTGGCGATCCTGGTCCAGGCTAACTCCCGGTTCAGCTGGACAGAGCCCTCAGATCTTTGCCCAGCGGAGGGCCACCACCTCTTACAGCACGAGTGGGACTGCACTAGGTTTTACTACTGCGAGTATGGGCAGAAGTGGATCACAGCTCGCCCTTGCTCACCTGGTACTCAGTTCTCGTATGAACTTCAGGTAATGATCATCATTTTCAATCGTCATAATGTATGTGACTTTGTTGGTGTATATGTTACGGCAAATGTGATAAATGTGAAAATTATGAATAAATGCCGGTTATTATGAATAATTACCTCATGATTTGGTAAATGTGATTAATATGAGATCAATTATGTGTGTATAAAACTAAATAGGCGGCTTAGGGGTGGCCCAAGGGCCATCTCCGCCGCACCTTAACCTATTTTTCACTTTTAAATCAAAACAATATGTTATGGGCATTATGACAAAGTAATGTTGCGCAAGAAACAGTCCAAACTCATTTTGCCAAATTATATTAATACATATTATATGATATCAAAACGTTCAAAATGTGAGGCTGTACATACATGAGCGCTATAGGTACACGAGCCGGTGTTGAAACGATCGATAGTAAAAAAATAAATAAAAATCATACCAATACACGCACCGGCAAGCGCAGCGTGGAACGTTCTCCTACAAGTTGGACAGATGACCTCATAAAGGTAGCAAGGCGCTGGATGCAGGCCGCTACCAACCGGGCGATGTGGAAGTCATTGGGGGAGGCCTATGTTCAGCAGTGGACGTCCTATGGCTGAAATGATGATGATGATGCAAATACGAAAGGCTTATTTAAAACCAGCTTTTACATAAAAATGATTAACATTGCTATGATGAGATCAAGGTTTTCTTATAAGTAAATTAATAATTTAACAAAAGTCACTTAATCAGCACTCAGAAATACATAAACTTTTTTAATAATAAAGCGAAAAATATATGATGATGATGACAATGAAAGGAACTGTGTGCGCGTGAGAGAATATCATCAGTATTTTATTCTAAATATATTATAAATAACGATGAACTTAAAAATATTATTAATTACAGGTGTGCATACATCCAGACCTAGCAAACTGCCAGTTGCCCAACCACCCACCAGAGGCTACAGAAGCTACAACTACCCCCGAACCCACAACTACCCCGGAACCCACCACCACTACCACTACTCCTGAACCCACTACCACTACGACCACTCCTGAACCTACAACCACTACCACTACCACAACAACGACTACCCCTGCACCCACTACAACTACTCCCGAACCCACTACCACTACTCCCGAACCCACTACAACGACCACTACCACCACTACAACTACTCCCGCACCTACTACCACTACCCCCGAACCCACTACTACGACCACTACCACTACCCCTGAACCCACTACTACTACAACCACCCCTGAACCTACAACCACCACAACTACTACAACAACAACTACAACTACTCCTGCACCCACTACCACTACCCCCGAACCCACTACCACTACTCCCGAACCCACTACCACTACCCCTGAACCTACAACCACTACAACTACACCTGAACCCACAACAACTACTCCCGAACCTACCACCACTACAACTACTCCTCAACCCACTACCACTACCACAACAACCACTACAACTACTCCTGCACCCACTACCACTACTCCTGAACCCACTACATCCGGACCAGTCAACCCAGACCTCCTAGACAACGGTTGCCCAGCTGACTTCGAAGTCCACGCTCTTCTGCCCCACGAAACCAAATGTAATAAATTCTATTACTGCAACTTTGGTGAGAAAGTTGTGAGGGAATGCGCTCCTGGCACTTACTTCAATCCTGAAATTCAGGTAATTTAAAAAAATTCAAATATTAAAACAGATAATATAATTTCTTAGCTTAACCGCCTCTGTGGACTAGTGGTAAGACCACCTGCTTCAGACGCAGAGGTCCCGGGTTCGATTCCCGGTGGGGGCAGATTTTTCTGTTCGGTTTAGTTGGTGGTAGGGCTTGTTCTAAGTCCACCTGGCTAGCTACCACCATCTTACCTAAGTCTGTCGCCATAACAACAATGTTAATAGCATTGTTGTGTTTCGGCAGTTAGAGGTAAGATAGCCAGTTCCTCCGTGGTTGAGGATTCCGGGTGAAGCTCCCTTCCACCTTCGGCCTGATCATCACTTACCATCAGGTGAGATACAGGACAAGAGCTTCCTCATTGTGGATAAATAAAAGATACTCGTTTACTAACATTGGATTTCTCAAAATATTCAATTTATTTCAGGTATGTGACTGGCCATGGAACGTGGATTGCATGAGCGTTGACACCGAAGAAGAGGTCGATGACAATGGCACTGGTAAGCACAGTCAAGCATAATCAATAATGCTAAAATCGTACTTCGTTCGTTTCAACCAAATGACGTCCACTGCTGGACAAAGGCCTCCCCCAAGGTTTTCCACAATGTAAGGTCCTGCGCTGCCCGCATCCAGGTTCTTCCCGCGACCTTTACCAGATCGTCGGCCCACCTAGTAAGAGGCCTGCCCACGCTACGTCTTCCAGCCGGTGGTCTTACTTAGTAACCTCTACATCAATCTGTATCTTTTGCTGAAAACTGCATTAAAATCCGTTGTTTAAAGATCTAAGCGCACGCAACGCAGACAGCGGGAGCGACTTTGTTACTATGTAACAAAGATATTTTTTGTGTCATCATCATCATTCATCATTTCAGCCATAGGACGTCCACTCTTGAACATAAGCCTCCTCCAATGATTTCCACAATTCCGGTTGGTGGCGCCTGCAACCAGCGCCTTCCCGCTACCTTTATGAGGTCGTCGGTCGACCTTGTGGGGTGGCAGAGTGGGACACTCTGCGCTTTCCGGTACGCGGCCTCCACTCCAGAACCTTGCTGCCCCATCGGCCGTCAGTTCTGCGTACTATATGCCGTGCCCAATTCATTGCCACTTCAGCTTGCTAATCCGTTGGGCTATGTCAGCGACTTTAGTACGCAGAATGGGGCGGCAAGGTTGAGTGGAGGAGGAGGAAGAAACACCGAGCATAGCCCTCTCCATAGCACGCTGTGCAATTTTGAGCTTCTTTAGGCCTATACTAAGAGGCCTATTATAAAGCTGAAGAGTTTGTTTGTTTGTTTACTTGAATGCGCTAATCTCAGGAACTACCGGTCCGATTTGAAAAATTCTTTCAGTGTTAGATAGCCCATTTATTGAGGAAGGTTATAGGCTATATACCATCACGCTACAAGTAATAGGTGCAGAGCAAAAATGAAAAATGTTGCGAAAACGGGTTTTCACGTGTACGAAGTCGCGGGCACAGCTAGTCTTGTTATATTTTTTTAGTCAAGCTATACAGAATTTTAGTCAACAGTAGAGTGTAGTTATCTAGTCCTGCGAGGTTGCTGATTGTTTTACAAGTAACTGTTTACTATTTATTCTAAATAAACTCCGGTTTCCAGAAACCCTTCCTAACGGCTGCCCAGCCGACTTCGAGGTGCACCAGCTGCTGCCGCACAGCAACTGCAGCAAGTTCTACTATTGCAACTTCGGAGAAAAGGTCGTCAGGGAGTGCCCTGATACACTGCACTTTAATCCTGTACTCCAGGTAAGGATCATAAGGATTTACCAAACCTACTTACTTCACCACGATGATTTTCGGTTTTCGTAAACTGTACTACTAATAAAGAGTTTGTTTGGTCTAACTCCCAATAATGTAGCATTATTATTGATGGAATGTCTTCAATACAATTACATGCAAAAAAAAGGTCGCGGGAAGCACCTAAAAATCTGGATGCAGGGCAAGGCCATTCTTTGTAGAAATCCTTGGAGGAGGCCTTTGTCCAGCAGTGGCCGTTCTTTGTCTGTTAATACGTATTGCGTGTAGAAATAGTAAAAAAGTAACAAATAAAGTTGCAATATAGCTCGTAGAGCTAATGACCGTTTTGGGACAGAAAAGTTCTCGAGTGGCAACCACGGGCCAGAAGACGAAGTGTGGGCAGACCCACCACTAGGTAGACCGACGATCTGGTGAAGATCGCGGGAGGTGCCTGGATGCGGGTGGCTCGGGACTGGTCCTTGTAGAAATCCTTGGGGGAGGCCTTGTCCAGTGAACGTCATTTAGCTGACACAAACGAAAGTTGCAACACATTATTAATTTGTTTCAAAGAGGTGACGAAGCTGTGACGTTTTAGACAAAACAAAAACGCAATCAATGAGGGTTTTCGCGAATGAAAGATCCGCTAGATGGCGGGACGTGGATGTGGGGTCTGATGACTGCTGCGTGATTGGTGGATTTTGACATATCTGTCAATGTCATGTCAAAAATAACCAATCATGCAGCATTTGGACCTCGCGTCTACGTATTGCCATCTGGCGGATTTTTCATACGCGAAAACCCTCATTGCAACACATTATTAATTTGTTTCAAAGAGATGACGAAGCTGTGACGTTTTAGACAAAACATAAACGCAATCAATTCCACGGAAATCGTGTCAAGTTCACTAATCGAGGATTTGGTAATCCTGTAATCTTTTTTTTATTAACATGTGCAGTTTAATCTAATCAAGAAAACAATGGCAATGTGTCACTTCTGAAGCCAAGGCGAGATAATGCAAATGCGATCATGGTCTGAAAGCATAAATAAAAAGTCATTGTAGTACTTTGTAAGCCGTGTGGTGATGTCAGAGTGGAATACATTTGTCACCAACCCCTACTCTTCCCGCGGGTGTCGTAAGAGGCGACTTAGGGACTACACATCAAACAGAACGGGCAGCAGCGCTCTCTGAAAAACATTAATCTTTTAAACTGCGATCTCCAACCCGCCTGCCAAGCGTGGGGGTTAAATGGCAAAACCCTCCACTATAGTAGAGGAGGCTCATAGTCCAGCAGTGGACTGTAAAGGGCTGTTGATGAGTACTTTGTGCACCTCGCTAAATGCGACTCTCTCTCGCACTCGCCATATTCGGACCAGAGGGTTCAGTGTGCGTTTACATCAAACGCGCTCACTAGTGATGACGTTTGATATAAGCCCACAGAGCGTCGATGTTGTGACGTCACGGACATATTGTACAATCACTGGACTTGACTTGACCTTCACTGGTTGGGTTTTCATTGGCGGTCAAGCTGTAGATCCTGGCTACACAGGAATTGCAGCGGTGGGAACGAGAGGTGTGAATAGTCCCGTAGTTGTAACTGTGCCCAGTTTTGTTATGATTTTCTTGAATCATGTCAGAGGAAATTATCAACTAAGACTTTCACCTCTCTTATTCAGGTATGTGACTGGCCATGGAACGCCGGTTGTGAAGGAAGCTCTGGTGGTGACGGAGGCTCTGATGGTGACGGAGGCTCTGACGGAAACGGAGGCTCTGACGGTGATGGAGGCTCTGACAATGACGGAGGGTCTGACAATGACGGAGGTTCTGGCGGAGATCTCCTCCCCAACGGCTGCCCAGCTGACTTCGATGTCCACGCGCTCCTGCCTCATGAAGACTGCGGGAAGTTCTACTACTGTGTCTTCGGAGAGACCGTTGTGAGGGAATGCCCTGCTGGACTGCATTTCAACCCAGCAGTACAGGTTAGTATGTCAGTTGTTTGGGTCTACAATTACTGAAGTTTAAGATTCAAACTGTTCACTGTCAAATTTAGGCATTTTATGCACAAAGAAGAAGCTTTTGGCCTGCATGATGAAAAGTGATGATCAGGACGAAGACGGAAGCGAGCTCACCTGAAATCCTCAATCACAAAGGAACTGCCATCTTATCTCCTAAAGATAAAACTTGTTAACGCAAAATCATTAAATTTACTCATACACACAATGAAAAACGTGACTATTTCCACCTCTTGTTCCCACCGGTGCAACTCCTGTGCACGTGCAGCCAGGATCTACAGCTTGACCGCCAACAACCCAACCAGTGAAAGTCAACTTTGTCCCAGGGGAAAGTTAAACTGTCTCTGCACTCAAACCACTATTCGATGAATTCTAGGCTTAGCATTTTGATAAAGGCCTAATTTTTCAGACAATAACTCATTACTTGCTATTAGTAATACTGCCTCGTTCTGCTTCAAATAACTGCCTTAAAGAAGTCCTTATTCAAGAAATTAAAATTCAATAAAATTAAATTCAATAAAATTCATTTATTTTTGCAAATAGGCTTTTAGAAAGCACTTTTACACGTCCCAGTATTAACCCTACCACTGCTTCGGGACAATAAATGGGCCAGTGCTGAGAAGAAGCAGCGCAAGAAACTCAGTCACTATTGTCAGCCTCCTTTTCAAGGGTACAGTCTTTAAAATATACAATTGATTTGGAATTTAAAGAGTAGATAAGACTTACTAGACTACGAGTATGTTACTATGTAGAGACATACTAGAGGTGCTTTAGGCAGATCAATGAAAATAGCCAATCATAATTTTTACCCGTTCTTTAATTCATATTCTCCATTGTTAACTATCGTCTCAATCAGGTCTGTGACTGGCCATGGAACGCCGGTTGCGAAGGCGGCTCTGGTGGTGATGGAGGTTCAGATGGTGACGGAGGCTCTGACGGTGACGGAGGCTCTGACGGTAACGGAGGATCTGACGGTAACGGAGGATCTGACGGAAACGGAGGCTCTGACGGCGACGGAGGCTCTGGTGGAGATCTCCTCCCCAACGGCTGCCCAGCTGACTTCGATGTCCACGCGCTTTTACCTCATGAAGACTGCGGAAAATTCTACTACTGTGTCTTCGGAGAGACCGTTGTGAGGGAATGCCCTGCTGGTTTGCATTTCAACCCGACTGAACGGGTTAGTATGTACAGATGTAAATTTTGACTCCCGCATTCATTGTCAGCATAGTTTAGCTTCAAGTAGGCATATAAAAGATGAGCCTCACCTCATCAATCATGATTCACTCATGAGGAGTCATTAATTATAAGGATACTATTCGATGAATTTTGTATTATGATTTTCTGTCAGCTGGATACACATTTAACTAAGTTTAATGGATTTAAATTTACAATTTCTGACTTATTTGTTGAATGTGTTCATTATTCAGGTATGTGATTGGCCGTGGAATGCTGGTTGCGAAGGCAGCAGCGGTGGTTCTGGAGGCGACGGAGGCTCTGACGGAGGGTCTGACAATGACGGAGGCTCTGACGGTGACGGAGGCTCTGACAATGACGGAGGCTCTGACAATGACGGAGGCTCTGACAATGACGGAGGCTCTGACAATGACGGAGGCTCTGACAATGACGGAAGCTCTGATGGAGGCTCTGACAATGACGGAGGCTCTGATGGAGGCTCTGACAATGACGGAGGCTCTGACGGAGATCTCCTCCCCAATGGATGCCCAGCTGACTTTGACGTCCACGCGCTCCTGCCTCATGAAGACTGTGGAAAGTTCTACTACTGCGTCTTTGGAGAGAAAGTTGTGACCGATTGCCCGGCTGGTCTACATTTCAACCCAGTGATACAGGTTCGTTTCAACATTTTTGAGCAATTGTCCCGATGACCCCTCGCGGTAAGCTACAATAATTATGCTTTTACGAATAAGTTCACAACACTCAATAATCCTATAATTATGATATTTTCTTGCTTCAGGTATGTGATTGGCCATGGAACGCTGGTTGCGAAGGCAGCAGCGGTGGAAACGATGGCTCTGATGGAGGATCTGGCGGTGATGGAGGTTCTGACGGTGACGGAGGCTCTGACAATGACGGAGGGTCTGACAATGACGGAGGCTCTGACAATGACGGAGGCTCTGACAATGACGGAGGCTCTGACAATGACGGAGGCTCTGACAATGACGGAGGCTCTGGCGGAGACCTCCTCCCCAACGGCTGTCCTGCTGATTTCGATGTCCACGCGCTTTTACCTCATGAAGACTGTGGAAAGTTCTACTACTGCGTCTTTGGAGAGAAAGTTGTGACCGACTGCCCGGCTGGTCTACATTTCAACCCAGTGATACAGGTTCGTTTCAACATTTTTGAGTAATAGTCCCGATGACCTCTCGTGGTAAGCTACAATACTTATGCTTTTACGAATGAGTTCACAACACTCAATAATCCTATAATTATGATATTTTCTTGCTTCAGGTATGTGATTGGCCATGGAACGCTGGTTGCGAAGGCAGCAGCGGTGGAAACGATGGCTCTGATGGAGGATCTGGCGGTGATGGAGGTTCTGACGGTGACGGAGGCTCTGACAATGACGGAGGCTCTGACAATGACGGAGGCTCTGACAATGACGGAGGCTCTGACAATGACGGAGGCTCTGACAATGACGGAGGCTCTGACAATGACGGAGGCTCTGACAATGACGAAGGCTCTGACAATGACGGAGGCTCTGGCGGAGATCTCCTCCCCAATGGATGCCCAGCTGACTTTGACGTCCACGCGCTCCTGCCTCATGAAGACTGTGGAAAGTTCTACTACTGCGTCTTTGGAGAGAAAGTTGTGACCGATTGCCCGGCTGGTCTACATTTCAACCCAGTGATACAGGTTCGTTTCAACATATTTGAGTAATTGTCCCGATAACCCCTCGCGGTAAGCAACAATAATTATGCTTTTACGACTGAGGTCACAACACTCAATAATCCTATAATTATGATATTTTCTTGCTTCAGGTATGTGACTGGCCATGGAATGCTGGTTGCGAAGGCAGCAGCGGTGGAAACGATGGCTCTGATGGAGGATCTGGCGGTGATGGAGGTTCTGACGGTGATGGAGGTTCTGACAATGATGGAGGTTCTGACAATGACGGAGGCTCTGACGGAGGTTCTGACGGAGATAGCGGAGCGAACAACGACGACAGATGCCAAGAGTGCAACGTCCTCCCATGGGCTCACGACACAGACTGTGACAAATTCTGGCGCTGCGAAGGAGAAAAAGCTGTCCTAGTGACTTGCTCTGAAGGTCTAAATTTCAACGCCAAGACTGCGCTCTGCGACTTCATAAGCAACGCCAACTGTGAGAGGAACGATGTTGAGTCGACGGTTAGTGCCAATGGATTGAAAGTCTTCCTGCCTAGGGATAAGATCGACGATCGATTGGTCAACATGCTCATGAAGGGTAGAAACTGAGAAAAATAGTAGTTACTTGTAAATAAATTTATTAATATGTATAGCAATCAAATCAGTGTACATACATTATGTAACCAGTGTAAGATCAAAATCAAAATAAAGGTTTGGGGTATTTGACACTATTCACCAATCAAATTATTATAAATAATTTAATATTAATGTTTAATTTTTGTGTTGCTTTTAAAATTGAAAAAAGTTAGTCAATTGACTAAATATTGACGTCATTAGCTTGTATAGCCCTACAAAATCTATGGGACTGGTTTTGACAGTTCAAAAAAAGTACGCCAGTTGATTGGTGGTGTCAAATACCCTTTTTGACATTTCGTAGAAGGTCTAAAGCATGTATTATTTGTCATTATTTATGTACTCATTTTGTCAAAACATTGTTTAATTTGAATTTTCAGCTTTTGTCAAGAAAGCATGGAATCTTTCAAGAAAACAATGTAGGGTGAAAGTACCACTAGTCGACCACTCAAAACACATGACCATCATTTAAAAATTAACGGAAATTAAAACACTAATAATAAAATGTTATTGTCTGATACCATAACTAGCAATGTAGTTTGTAGTGTAGTAATAAATGTATAGTAGACGTGGAAGCCATTTTGTTTTAGAAAAGATCAGTCGAGATGTCGTAAGAGGCGACTAAGGGACAAGTATGCGAAATGAGGCCTCCCCAACCCGTCTGGCCAGCGTGGGGAGTGTAGGACAAATCCTCCATTTGCCTCTGGTCAATTAGAGAGGGTCGTACTTCTGCAGTGGAGACTAAATGACCTGATGATGATGATTAATGATGAATAAATAAAATAACACATTTGGTATAACAAATTAATATTTATTTGTTAATAAATAAAATGGAAAAGAAACCTTATAAAATATACTAGGTTAAAATTATGCCTTAATATAAAATATTGATCATGAAAGCCATTTTCTTGTTGTTTATGTCGTGTATTTTTATTGCTGACTGTCCGCCACGTCTGTTGCCTCGATGACCTGAAACAAAAAAGGGAAATATAAAATAAATATAATAAGATTAGTCAGTCAATAGTAGCCACATTAACCACATTTTAAACAGTTAACCCATGATGCTAGTTCATAATTAAATAGTAATTTAATTGAATCAAGATTCTGGATTACAACAGAAAACTCTTGGAAAAGAAGTTCACAAAGTGACTGACACCCGTATTCACAAACGATGATTGCTTAACTGAAGCAGCAACGCTACGCGAAGTCGAACGCACAGGGTCGAGCTCTGTGATTGGTTCGTGTGTGTCACTCCGCCAGTCAAGTATTGTCTATGAATAGGTTTTTGGGACCCTGTGCGTCCACCGCACTGTGAGACCTCATAGTAATGTTTGAGCAATACGGGTGTGAGTTTTGCGCTGCTTCTTTTCAGCACTGTCGTGTGTTTTGCTATCATTTTATGTTAATTGTAGACCAATAATTCCCAATTTTTTTATTAAGCAAAAGATCAGTCTGACATTCTACCAGCTCGCACTAAGCGTTTCGATGGCTCTTTTATAATGCGAACAGCTAGGGACTGGAATTCGTTGCCTGCTGCTGTCTTTCCCGAAGACTATAATCTGGGCGTTTTCATGGCGACAGTGAATAGGCAGTTACAGGGCAGATATGTTTATGTACCATCCTAGACTGCATCCCACTTAACATCAGGTGCGATTGTGGTCAAATCAATCAAAATCAAAATCAAAAATATTTATTCAGTTTAGACCACAAGTGGCACTTATGAAATATCTGCCTTGTTATGCATAAAAAAAATATTTAAAAAAAACTACATGACTCTAAAACACCAGAGAGGCACACTCACCCTTTTAACCTTCTTCCCGTTCACGGACCAGAAGGTGACCTTGACCTCCGAAGGTTTCCCGGTCCTCGCGTCGAACACCCGGCAGCTATCGAAGGGAGGGCAGTAGAGGTGGAGGGAGACCGCACTGTCCACGTGTGAGGGGTTCTCCATGCGGTGGAGGCCTAGGGCATCTGTGGAGAAGAGAAAAGAGCTGGTTAGGTAAAGAAAAACTGGAGAAAAAGAGAGAATAAGGGGCAGATGTGAAGAATGTGGGCTATTGTGGTTCCTAAGCTATACGGGGCTAGGTTGGCCGTGTGGTTGCGGCAGAGTGGAATAGGTACGACAAGGTACGACCCCTTTTCTTCCCGTAAATGTCTTAGAGTTACAATAGACAAAATATTCGAGAATGAGTGTTGAACAACACTTTCATTTGCCTCTAATAAGTTACGCCACTCTTGTGGCGGAGTTTTGGGCTGTCACTGTGTAGGTTTGTTGTCGACACGACAAGAAGAAGAAGTTGGAGAGAGTCATGTTCCTGCAGGATTATTGACTTGATGATGATAATGGTTATGGATGATGATGATTATGAAAAATATGAGACGCAAGCCAGGTATAACGATAAATAACCATAATAAATATGAGAGAAAACGAGGGACTATGTACTCGTATATAGAAGAGACACTTGTCCAAGTCTAAACTTTTGCTTGTCTCAAATCACTTTTTACTAACTTTTTTACCCAAACCATTTCAAATCGGTATAATTTCAGACCTTTACTTGTAACATAAGAACGTAACATATTGAATGGTTTTATGTCTGAAATTACAGAATTATAGTGTCTAGACAAACCTAAAAAGGATTTAGGACGCTATTTGGATCAAATATGTAATTGCTCAATAATGAATAATAAATAAATAAATAAATAAATAAATAAATAAATAAACATAAAGCCTTGGCATTGCAGATTGGCATGCCAAAAGGAAGTATTCTAGTTCAAACTAGATATTATTACACCAGTTCTGAATCAATAGGTATTTCTATCTACAATCTGAATGATCACTTAACCTGCCTTGACTGTAAATTAAATGACCATTAACTTAATTAAGGTGCACAACTCTATTTATAATGCAATAAAAGCCATGTTTTCATTAATAAATCATCACAGCCATCACATGCTCGTGATTGTGTAAAGATTGACCTATGTACTGAATGATAACAATATACCTATAGTCAGTGATATGAAAGAGATAGGTATTTTGTCCAGAAGTGGTGATGGAGCAGCGCCTTCAATAGAATTTGATAGTCCAGTCAAAAATCATACAAAAAAACGGTATTTGTTGCACTTTTCTTGGACATGGTTATAGTTACAGCAAAAACGAATAAAAAAAATTGAAAAATATTCATTCTTTAGTGTCAGAGTTAATGACTAAGAAATCTCATTCTAAATTTTTATCCACGAGGAAGCTCTTGGCCTGTATGATGACGGTAAGTGACGATCAGGCCGAAGGTGGAAGCGAGCTTCACCCGGAATCCTCAACCACGGAGGACATTGCCACTGGTGCATTATTTCTTACTAGCGACGTAAGAGTTTCGAGTGAGCTATCCAACTACCTTTTGGTGTAAAAGTGCTTTTTAAAAACCTATTTGCAAAAATAAATGAATTTTATTTTTATTTTAATTTTTAATTTTGTTTTTTTTAATATTATAGCCAACAAACCTACACAGTGTCAGCCCAAAACTCCGCTAAAAGAGTGGGGTTGTCAGTAGCCTCCATCAAATCTTCTTGAGTGCAGTTGTTTGGGCTAAGACATCATGTGATTCGTCGACTGAAATAATGATGATGATAATTTGATTTCATTTCAACTTACCGTTTATATAACAAACGTCATTCACTTCGAGCCTCGTCCGCCCAATCTCCTCCATCTGATCCGAGCTGTAGTCTTCGCACTGGCTCCCGCACTGACACCTGTCAACTTTCCCGCCGAAATTTTGACAGCTGTCATTCTGACAGCTCACGTCCAGCGCCGCCATTTTGGTGTCGAGGTGCTCCTCTGTGGCGCGATGCCTGTTTAATACTTTTCTCACTTCGGGCTCCACTGTGGATGGCCAGTCGTATCTGTAAATGAAAAATTACCATTATCAACCATTATTCTTCATAATATTCCATACTAATGTTTATTATACTCATAAATACGGAGCTTAGAACCGGCGTAATTAATATTTAAATTACTTTCATGTGGTTAAAGTAAAAAGCTACCAACTTTGGTACGTTTTTCAGTTTTGTATTGAAAAATCTGAAGAAAATGATTTTCAGTTTTTTTGGTATTCTACATGTATCTAAAGCTAACTAATAACTAGAGTGCATACAACAGTGATGTAGAATTGTAGATAGGTAGTCAAAGATAAGCATTTATAGAATACATTTTTTTCAGTTCTTAAAAACTACCATAGAAACATGTTCAGTTCAGGAGCAACATTCGCAAATTTATTTACTTGGACGACTTATTTTTCCAATTAGTTACTTTCTTTTAAAACTAAACTACTGAGACATTTTTGATAAAATTTTAATGAGACTAACTCATGATCATTTACCCTATAAAACAAAAAAAAATATGAAATCGCTTCATAATTGGCAGCGGAAACAAAAATACAAAAAAAGCCTCGTTTTTTAAGTTGGTCCAAACACCTTTGATAAGCCTATAGGCAAGCACAGCATGCCCCCAGATAAAGAGCAATAACTTCAATATTTACATGATAAATTAAGATAAATAATATTATTATCTTGTGTTTATAATATTAACAGCACTAAAAACAACTGATGCAAGTAATATGTCGCTGCCAATCACAAATTGAAAACATACGGATAGATAATGCGGGCTGACGCGCCGCGTTTAAAAACAAACTAAGATAACGTGCGTCAGCTTGAAATCAAACAATTTGATCGTTAATTGTTCTAATTGAAACCGGTTTTCGTAAACTGGAACTAATTGTAATAATAACTTATTGATAACTGATTTATGGCTCTCTTTGATTGTTTATTGTTTATTTGTTAATACAAATAATAATGAAGTCACAGAGGCTTGTGATCTCATACCGCTGCAACTCCTGTGTAGCCAGGATCTACAGCTTGACCACCAATAACCCAACCAGTGAAGGTCAAGTTTGTCCCGGGGGAAAGTTAAACTGTTATTGGACCCGCAACGAAATCAATCGGAAGAACATAGGAGGAGTTCGATATCTCCATACAAAACCACCGGTTATCGTTAAAGTAATGTTTAAAGTTAGATGAGGCAACTCATCCTTAGTCTCCTCTGCCCTCTCT